TCAACATCTGGCAGACCATGAGGCCATGAACTGACAATGATCAAGTTCAATAAAAATTGAATTTCTAATGTAATACTGACGCTATTAGAGGAGGTATTAAACTAACTCAATCTTGCAAGAAAGGCTGCCTAGAAATTCTATTGCAGCCCATCTTGTCCTTGCGCAACAAGAACTAAAAGCATAAATCACTAAGAATGTTTGCACGACAGACTCAACGCGATCCGTCCCGGATCTCTCATTTCAGAACACCGGGGAAAAAATCTATTCCCTTTAGGTATATATATTTCACCTCTAATGACAATAGTACTGACGGGTGTGCGGCAGAAGACCACCACTGTTGAGCAGTATTACTCAGTCTGTACCTTCATGCTGGTGAGGGGCTCATGATTAAAGCTACCGTACCTTTGTTCAAATTTTTTTAACGTAGTCTGAATATCTTCCATTCCTCCCAGGCATTGTAAGACCAACGGGAGTAGCGCTCGCCCTTGTGAATTTAGTCTAGTCGCGTGACTAGCAACAGTCACCTTAACAGCCATCGGGTGTGAAGCTGGTATACAATACAGACAAGCTGATAAATGCACAATACCTTGCTTAAGTTTTTAATTATAAAATACATATTTATATATAGTTACCCATTCAAATATGCTAATGTTCGATCCATTTAAAATGGAGTACAAATACGTAGTGATCAAAACTGCTGAATAATACTGAAGCTAATACTACTTAATAGACGTCAAAGATTACTAAAATAAGAAAACCCGAACTTTAATAACTATATCAGCGTTGTGTGACCTTTAAGAGTTTAGCACTTAGTTACGATTATAATAATGCCAACATAACATTTAAAACTACGATGAACGCATACGAACGATTAAACCTAATGTTCTGTTTACTTATCAGTAAATGATTTAAACATCACTTCTTTGCAGTGATCAGGAGTGATTTATGGGCATACGATTTTCTCCAAACTCAACTTTAAGGGGGCAAATTTGAACTTTTACATCATTTTATGGCAAATTAAATGGTAAAGCGCCAAACCAATAAGGACTACGGACTGAAGGAAACTCCAGTTCCTGATCAAGAGGCTCTCCCCCCACACCGGCATAAAGGAACTTCTCTATGGTAAACTTGCCAGCTGCCGGGTCACCATCTGGAAAAGACCTAGGCCGGGACTACAACGGCGAACCTACGTACTACTATTGCCAGCTACCTTCCCGAGAAATGCTACCACCCGATAATATTTCGTTCAGATTTTTAACCCCGGAGGGTTAGCCACCCAGAATAACCCAAGAAAGTCGGTGCGTCATCGAGGACTAACTTATTTCCATTGGGGTCCTCCCAATCCTGTCCCCCAGGATGCGACCCACACCAGTCTAACACCCAGGTACCTATTTGCTGCTAGGTGAACAGGACAACAGGTGTAAGGAAACACGTCGGGAATCGAACCCAGGCCCTCCGTGTGCGAAGCAAGAGCTTTAGTCACGAGGCCACTGATACGAAATTTCAGAACGGGTACGGCCAAGACAACTTTCTGCTATTTGTTTTAACATGCCCACAGCAGGTCTCTGGTACCTAAAAAAGAATCAAGTGAAGTACTATTGACCTAATATTACAAATTACTGACGATGCAGCCCAGTCTAGGAGTAATGTGACTGGAATGAAAACCATTGGCAAATTATTTATACAACAGTCCGCTCGGTGCGCTGAAAGGGTTTAATTTAAAAATGGCTTATTGTCTACCTATTAAACCGAATGTCTTTAAAACAGTGATTAAAGTATTTTCATGTCTGGTAGTACAGGCACCTTGTTGACTGCACGCAATGAAGACTCGCCCGATGGCGTCACGTGCAAATACGGTAGTATCCAACGGAAGCTAATGCCCTAAGTGAGAAAGGGATGTTAAAATGCCTTACCAGGCATTTATTTGTTTCACAGACTACCATTCTCTAGGCCAGTAATTACTAAACACTGCCATGACTTAAGTAAATACCCATAAAGTTCTAACTGGCTCCAACTCCTCTATTGGTACAATGCAATGTTATGCACCCGACTAAAAAATAAGCCAGGTTATCTAACGATAGAAAGCCCATCATGTGCATAATTATCAATCTCAGTACTAACCAGATTGTAAAGCTTTGTAATTAGAAACGCACCAAATGCTTAAATTCGGTCACTTCCTCTCCAGCACGAAGGTAGTGTCAGCTGCCTCACAAGGGGCGAAACAGCTGACAACTGCCTCAGACTTTCCTGTAACTACCCGATTGGAACACCTGTTCCTGCCCTCTCCCCCTTCTAATCATCTATCTGCTAAGCGTAGGTTTGTACCGAAATCAACGCTGCGCTGTTCCCCTCCAGCATCCTTTCAGATAAGGCAGCAGTTGTGCCTTTAATAAAAGGGCCAGTGTGATGCCAGACCATTACAGGTCTGCAAACGGAAGGTGCATCCGCAATGTTAGTATACCGTTTCGTTAATACAGCATCTTTGAAAAAGATTCAAGATTTAGTTAAACATGCTAGTAGTTACGCTGGATAAAATATGCCCTGGAGCTTAATCCACAATTTAAATTTGATTCTAGCGTGAGGATACATGCCTTCGCTTATTGCACCATGCGTCTAGCGTAAATATTGCGTGGCCATGCCATCAGAACAATCGTGGTTCGGCCACTACTGTCGTAAAAAGTTTTTGAGGTACAAACTACTTTTACTCAACTGCAATGCCCAGAGACAAGTTTTTCGGCAAAATGCATGCTAACCATTAACGAGGAAGACAAGAATTAAGCGAAGAATAGCTAAGTGTCAAGTGTAAAAAAGTTTGGTGTGACGATGACTAAATTCATGCATCAGATTATTATAATCAAGGGGGAGCGCTAAACCCGTAGGATTATGCAGCACCTGTGGGGAGGATGTGGAAGGTATTCAGACTTAGTTCAGGAAACTGGAGCACAGAACCAATTCCCTAGATCAAAAGCCCCTCACCAACGTCAAGTAACCTTCCTTGAGGGGCCAAGAACCACAAAACTGTGGGGGAGGTGAAAAGAAAGAGGGCAAGGTGATACCAATGTTGCTGCGATGTGCTGACCAGCAGTTATTGACTGGCTGCTAAGCAGAGTAAACCTTCTAAAACAAGGCAAGGGCAGAAAACTAGAGTATCTGTACACTTTAAAAGTCAGGAACCTATAAACGAGCCTTAATTTGGACTTGTGAAAGAGCACTCTGCAGTTGATCAGGCACCACTCCTTGGAGGGATCCAAGGTCAATTAAATAGCCAAGTCAAGCAATGGCAGGTTGCATTTGCTTTAGAGACGACTATGGGCTATTTTTTTGTAAATACTGTAGTTCAGATTTTTTTTTTTAGTCAACAGCCAGCTCAGCATATATTCGGGGTATTAAAACAAGACTGACACTGAATCTTACCCAAACGAGCCAGTCAACATTAACACTATAGACTATCTCGCTAAACAGAGGCTGGAATAATTCTATTGAAGTTCTCTAAACTTATAATGCACCATTTCTAAGGCCTTTAACATTCTTCCCTAATACCATCGTACTTTAAAGGAAAGGTTGAGAACCACATGTCGGGCAGTTTCATTCTGGCTGTGCACTTTGAACTTAAAGGGAAAAAAAAATCGCCAAACATTCATTATAACTTCTAAACTCGTATAGAACCGGTTCTCAACATACAGGAGAAATTTACTTCATTAAAACAATTTTGGTTAACAGCACTTTAGAGTTTGTACATTCCTCGAAACTAACAACCTTGTAAAAAAAGAAAAGGTTGCGCGCGCGCATACACTAAACACTTGTGTACACACGTTCCAAGTGTACTGAGCAACGATCCACTTACAACTACTTTCAAACAGTTTCAAACTTCCTTAATTTAGAAGATTCGGGTACCTGTTCCCGGTCTGCAATATCCATAAACCTAATTTGTGGAGGATTTTACTAACCTAGCGAACAAATACTATATAGCGGGTAAAAAATTTAAGATTTGGTAGTCTCCCAGTACCTTGTATAATTATTAGCGTGTATAAAAATAAATTAAGCAACCTTAGTTTAAAAGAAGCCAATCCCCCCCTCACAACCAAAGCTGCTTTCCATGACCAAGACTAAAATTTGATTAGCCATTCCGTAGCCGATGCCCTTGTTATCAAGAGATTGCAGTCCTAATTTGGGAAGCAAAATATCTTGTATAAATCACCTTCAGTATAAACCACCTTCAAAATTTATAGCAATAGGCCATGTACCTCCCCCCCCCCCACTAATCACCATACCAGCCCATCCTCATCATATTTGCACTCCCCCCCCTCTAGATTCATTATACCTGCCCATTCAATTCATCCAAGGACAGTCATTATATTTAAAGTTAAACCGGGAAGTCGTACAATAACTTCATTCCATCCTGCACAAGTGACTGCCACACCCACTTCCAGCCATCAATAGCGTCGCTCTCCAAAATGCAGCTTGTGTTTTATGTTCCACTACCAGGATTTTTTGCCTTTCAAGTAATGACTATCTTAAATTATACTTCCTAAAAAAATAAATTGAACTTACTGCCCTTGTAACAAATATCGAAATTAGTATTCTTACGTAATATACCGGTAGTTAAAACCTTTTTCACACATTACCCAATTATACCATTAATACATTGACATAACACAAACGTAAATTGATGAGTCATGAAGCACTATCTATGGTATGTGTCTACAATTGTGGTTTAAACATGTTTTAATCTAAAATATTACCACGTAAACTATATCACCCCCGGCATCGTTTCTATAACATCAATATACAAATTTAAAATGTTCATTGGCTGGTGATATCCTTAGGAAAATAAAATATTTAAGATATTAAACATGTAGGGAAGAATTCCCAAACCGCTTGTAGATGAGCTGAGCCCAGCAGCATCAAGAGATGAGATCAATACTACCAACCTCGCTTACCATTAATCCCAGATATTTCCTCACGTATTCTCTGTTTCTCAAGATCCACTAAGACCTTACCTTGGACTGGGCCTCAGCAGCAAGTCCTGACTTCGTAGCGCGACTCATAGTGGTAGTTAAAGAGGAGGGAAGAGGAGAGAGCGTACGTCCACACCTGGTGTCTGTAGTCAACTGGTGTGTACCACGGCTGCTCCTCCCACCTTGTACCTCACAACACTCACTCTCTCACACTGACGTCATTTTCACTTTTTTTTCTCTCTCTTTCTCTCGTTACAGAGGTTAATGTGTCTATTTATATATTACAGGATGTGTATTAACTTACTTATAAATGTGATGACGTGCTTCAAATGTCTCCCAGAATTTGTATTCCTCAAGAAGTAGTTATCACAGTTAATTATCGTGTTAAGAAGACTAAGTTTGTTCAAACTGAAGATTATCATTATAATGACGAGATATTTATACGGATAATGTAAATTATATATGATTCTTTGCAATTTCTCATAAAAATGATTTTTTTTTTATTTTATTTAAAAAAAAAACACAATACACATTATACATGTTTGCTATACTTAGGTCACATAAACAAAGAAACGTGATCCATTAAATAATAAAAACAGACAACTCCACATTCCTTATCCCAGCACTAAACTTATACATAAGAAAAACACGTGCAACTGTAAATGCTTGATTCCCCCTCCAAAAGTGCCCAACCAGCACACACAACATACATGTAACTAAAAACAGCCCACACCTGTACATACAGGTGGGTTTATTATATCCATAAAATACAGCCAGTATCTTATAACACAAAAGACAATATAATCCAAAGAATGTCACACTTATTTACATTATCTATGAAACTTTATATACAAATACATTCTCATATAATCCAATTCGTCGCACACTCATTAGTATTGCATATTAAACTTTATATACAAAGATATAATATTAAACACCTCAAAAATTACAATATAAGAAAGGTGACAAAATAGCAATTTCCACACACACTACATTTACACACATGCACCTCCATACCCAGAGCCATTCACACTTGAACACCCAGGTGATCTTGTGCCATCCCTGCACCAACTAAACATTGCACCATTACACAAAAGTTAAAAAACAAGCTAAGTGAATACAAATTTAAATATTATCTATAAAAAACGTGTACACAGAAACAACACAACACTTGTTATTCGTAATTGTTTGTGGCATATATACAAACTTTTACCATCATCCATCAGATGATATATTACTAATTTGACACAGGAGTGTCTCACCACTCCAAAAGTAGTTACATTATTATTTTTCCCTAAAAAAAAAAAACACACAAATTACTATACATGGAAGTTTGTTAAGAACCACGAAATCGTTCCTCTGATATGTTATGATCTAAGCCAGAAAGTTAAATTAACCTTGAACACCATTTTACCTGACATATCTTGATTTCCTCATACTAACGCACACACCGGGAGCTTTCCTATCTTAAAGAACATTACTTTTAACACACACACTACATTCACACACATTCACCTCCATACCCAAAGCAATTCACACGTACCTGGAGTTTACCTGGAGAGAGTTTTACTTGTTCCATTCCTACAACAGCAACTGGAATCATACTAGTTACCACCCAACCATAATCCGTTACACTACACACCATCCACCTATGTAATTCGCTAAAACCATTCCCATACACGCCACCACCACTGAAAACCCTTGAAAACCCGACTACCAAAGAAAACCAGTCCCCTACATGGTTATCACTGTACCAATTGCAGGAGACGACTGACTGTAATCTCTCTGTAGTTCTCTGGAAAACAAGCTCCCCACTGACTTCCATAAATAAGTTTGTTCCTACCAGCAGTCCTGTATATATGCGCTGCAATTGCCTTAATTCGAATCCTACCCCCAGCATCTCTCATTCCCCAGGAAATAAACAGAAAATCCACTACCACATACATAATCGCCCTTTTTACCTCCCGTGATACCCCTTTTACCTCTAATGTTAAAGCTCGCAGGGTCTCTACGTTACCTCCACCCAGCAGACAAAAAACCCTCGCCAACCACATCCATACCTCCCTCAATTCTTCACAAAAATAAACCGCATGAAATGCCATTTCCAGCTCACCACACTGACTGCAGGACGGTTCCCTCACCAAACCCATTAAACTCAAAACTGCTTTTGAAGCTAGGATCCCCATCATGAATCTGTATACCAACTCACGTACCCTAGGCATTAACCTGAGCCCCCTGAAGTCTTCCCATATCGTCCCCCAATCATACAATGGATAGACCGATACGCCCTGCAGGATTTCCTTCCTCCCACTCAATGATACCAAACGCCCCACTTTAAGTCGCTCAACATCTTTAACCAATAACAAAACCCTCAGCATATCCTCACATTCAATTAACTCTTTACCTCCCCACCATCTCCGCACATCCCCCATCACCTTTCCCACTCTTACCCCTCTTTCCCCTCCAGCCCTAACGAATGACTGTTTTACATATATTGCTTTCACCCTCGGCCCCAATGCTAAAAGACCCACTCCCCCTCTGCGCACATTCGACATCACCACTTCCTTGCTCAGCCATGCCCTCCCAAAACCCCAAACATAATGTATAGCTCGTCTCTGTATTTCTTGTACGTCCTGTGTTCTCAAAGGATACGCTTCCGCTATGCCCCAAACCTTACTGTAAACTAGCAAATTAACTATTACCGCCCTCTGCTGTAATGTGACATCTCCCGCCCATAAACCCCTTAATCTACTCACTACTTTCTCCACTACCCTCTCTGAATTTGCCTGCCTAGCCTCCTGCGCATTCGCCATGTATAAAACTCCACAAATCTTCAAATTATCCACCACTGCCCACCCAAACTCCAACCCCAAGCCCCCCCCACCCAAGCACCCACCTCCAGTAAACACGATTTCGCCCTATTTACTCTCATGCCCAACGCCTCCCCAAAAATCCCCAACACCCTCCCCACCATACGCAATCCCTCCACCCCTTCTATCAGGATAGTGGTATCATCCACATACCCCACAATGCCTGAACGCCCTTCCCTCTCCCCATTTAATGTTCCCATCCCCTCAACGAGCCCATAGAACGGATGTTGCATGCACGCAAACAGAATTTGTGAAAGAGGGCACCCCTGCCGTAATCCCCTCTCTATTTTAACCAGCCTTCCCAATTTGCCATTAACTTGGACCCGTGCCATAGCCGCTGAGTATAGCCTATCAACCCACCTCGCCACTCCCAGTCCAAACCCCAGTCGCAACAAACAAGCCCTCAAAAATTTTCTATTTACACAGTCATATGCATTCTCCCAATCAATACCCAAAAGTCTTCCCCCCTCACAACCCTCCAAAAAGTCCCTTATGCGCCCATGCCCAACTCTCATACTTCGTCCCAGTATACCCATCTGACCTCTATGTACAACCCCACCAATTACCTTCTTCATCCTATTACCTAATATCTTTGCAAAAATCTTGTAGTCAGAACACATTAGTGAGATAGCTCTATACGCACTTAAAACACTCCCCACTTGCTTTTTACGAACCAACAGAACCACTCCAATACTTTGTGTCTGACTTAGCTTGCCCTCCCGCAACATGCAATTCATGACCTCCACCAGACAAGTCTTAATATGCTCCCAATGAACTCTGTAAAAATCATTTGAAATCCCATCGATGCCTGGTGCTTTTCCAGTACTCATGTTAAACACTGCCTCCTCAACTTCCCCCACACTAATCGCTCCTCCCATCTCCATCCCCTCCACTTCTTTTTGCCCTAACCCACACCCCCCCTCCAACACTTCCTCAAAAACATCGCCTTTCCCCCCCTTTCTCCATTTCTCTCGAAACCAGAAATCAGTATAATTACTCATGCCTTCTGTAGTAGTAAGCACCTGTCCCTTATGATATCCACCCATATCCTCGCTCACCTCTAATTGCAAAATAGTTGACTCCTGCCTTGCCCTAAAACGTCTTAAAACACTTCCCGAAGGTTTATCCCCCCACAATACAGCCTCCAATCCTGCCCTCACATGCACGGCATCAAATCTATCATTGTGTATCTCTGCCAGTCTACCTCTAAGTTGCTCCACGGTCCCATACTGCTTCCCCACTTCCTCGTCATAACACTCGTTCAGCTGACATTCCAAATAATTCTGTAACCCATACCTCCACCTGGCCTCTTCCCGTCCCCTATTTTTAAAGAATCCAGCAATACCCGGCTTAGCTCGCTTCTCCCACCATTCCAAGACACACGACCCCACATCCCTTGATCCCCAAAAAGAGTGCCACCAATCCCCAAAAGCCACACTCACCCCCTCCCCCTTCACAAGTCTCGCATTTAATTTCCAATAACCAGTGTATATCCTAACCATGCCCTCCCAATCAAGATCCGCAATAACCGCCCTGTGGTCCGAAAACCCCACATCGAAGGTCCTAACTCCTAGTACTCGTATTGCCTCCGTAGCATAGAGCCTATCCAGTCGTGCAGCATAACCCCTTCGTACAAATGTATACTCAATCCTCCAACCACCCCTCCCCACTACATCTAAAACTCCCACATCCCCCAACACATTGCGTAAAAACCCCAACACACACCCCGCCCCCCTCGGTTCCACATCACCCTGTCGTATGACACAATTCCAATCTCCTCCTATCACAGTAACTAAAGGCAATCCCCTCAAATAAAACAGCAAAACATCCTTCATGAAAGTTACCTTAACTGCTGCATTTCCATCCGCTGGCATATATACTCCTATAAAACAAACCCTTGTCTCACCCCACTCTCCATCTACCCGCACCACCCTTCCACCCCCACCCTCCTACCACCCCAACACACGCAAGGGACTGGTTTCCTTCACAGCCACAGCAACTCCCCCTTTTAACCTCACCGATCCACTCACATATAACTTATATCCCTTCAAGCGCAACTCACATCCAAACTTGTAATTATGCTCCTGTATGAAACATATATCCACATCAAATCTCCTTAAAAACCATTCCATCCATACTCTCTTAATCTCAGCTCTCAGGCCGTTAACATTAATGGTGACCACCTTGAATTATTACAATAAAGGCGGCTTTCCCCGCCGCTTTTGAAGGTTGCTCGAAAGACGTGGTTGTTGACTAAAGCCACGTTTGTCACTTTGTCTATCCAGACCTCCGATCCCCCCCTTTTCCTTCGACCCTTGCAGCACCACAGA